CAGTACACTGCTTTAAAATCTAACTTTAATACTGACTTTAAGTTGTTTTAGAAATAGGCTTTAGAAGTGTTTTACAGCGGGGGAGGGTGGAGAGTAGGGCTTGATCAAAAGCTCATGGAAGTCAGTGAAAAGACTCCCAATGATTTCAGTGAGTTTTGGATCAGACCTACAGGGTCCATTTCAGGAAAAGCACTTAAGCACATACTTCTGTTCATCCCTATTCAGGAAAGCACTTAAACACATACTTAACTTTAAGCATATACTTGAAGACAATGACTTTAGTACATGCTCAACCCCAACCCCTCAACACCAACACTCTCTACTCACCCCATAGTCCATCAACAACTCATTCGCCAGCCTCTCACCCACTACCCCAGGAACCTTTCTGGCCACTGACTGGCACCCCTCCCAGCTAAGTGCTCCACTCTCCACCTGGGCTAGGGTGGTTCCTCACAATCCCAGCTGCCCAGCAACTCCACTTGCTCCCATCACCTACCCCACACTCACACAACACAGGCCAAATTTGAGTGATGAGGGGCATTGCAACCTGGTGCATGGGATCCACAGTGCCACACCAGTTTGGTTTGGTTGCCCCTCTGTCATGATGGAGGGATGGCCGGGACAAACCTGAGCAGCACTGCTACCCCTGTGCGTCCAGTCACACCATCACTCAAATTTGGGCCAGACACTCCTGTGTCTGATGGAGGGATGGCCAAATTTGAGTGAGTGGCATTGTGACCATGTGTGCCAGGTGAAGTGCCAGAGTGCCACTCCATCTGCCTGGGCCCCCATAACCTCATGGGCCCTGGCATGACTGCACCATATACACGATTGTATCTAGTCCATTGTAGTCCTCCGCACTAACTAGAAGGAAATCTCAAACACCTTGTTTAATTGCTCTCTATTTATAAAAACGCTACATAAAAAAGGGTGGGGGCAAGGACTAAAATGGCCATGTCCAAGGAGAGAAGTCTTAAACATGATCTGCAACATGCAATCAAGGCTCTTAGCTACATCTTACTCTTGCTTCTGAGCATTCGTAATTTGGTGGCTGCATTAATGCAAGCTTTGGTTGTCCTGTTCTGCTCACCCCTTTTTACTTTGTGCTCAAACATGCAATACTGAATCCCTGCTCTGTACAGAATCAACTCCTTTTTAACTAACACCTTTATTTTCCAGGAAGGCACTACTTAGCCAATTTATACATTAAAATTTAAGTAGTACAAGCTGTTAATCCTCTATATGTATCAACACAAGGATCTTTGGTTTAAACAATCTAAAACCTCCTTCTTCCTACTGACATGCTTTACATAAAGTGAGTCCTACTCTGTGTATGTATGTATGTATGAATGAATATGTGATAGCCTTGGGTAAATAGAGAGAGAGAGATGTGACAGTGATCTTAAATAATGGAGTATGTCCCATGCGAAAAGATCATTTTCTGGAGAAGTTTCCTTTGAAAGGCTGATGTGTAATCACTTATCTTGCCTTTGTAGGAAGAGCCCTGTTTTCATAAGCAGTTTTAAAGTTCCAGGAATGGCTTCCACTTCTCCATCTGATCCAGAAAGCAGAGGTTGAAACAAGGAATTTCTTTTGGTCAGACTCTAGTGTTTTTTCTTGCTCTCTCCTTGCTGTTTTTAGCTATGTCCAACCAGGACTGCATAGTAAGGTTTAGTTAAGAAGACTCTGAGCCAGCCTAATTTTATTCACTCCTGTCTTTGCTTGAACATTTATAAATTAACAGCATTTGATGATATTCCATGGCTTATGTGCAAAGTTGGCACATGGGGAAATTGAAGATCACAGTGAAGCTACTGTCAGCTGTCATTTTACATTGATATATTTTACTGTAATTACTACTTTTTTAAAACTGGCATACATTGTAAATTACAAGGTTATTTCAAGTTCTGAAGATGTACTACATTCTGACTCTGAAGTTTTAGAAGAAATTATTTCTTTTTATCACTTTACTCTAAATCTCAAGGCTCCTAGAAAGGAAAACTATACTACACTTTAACATGTCTTGGGATTTAAATGAATCTATGCAAGGCATTTCCATTTCTAACTTTGGATCTCTGCACATTTATAGTATTTGGAAGCTCTTTCTCCACACCACATCCCCATCTGTTTATCACCAATATAATATTTTTGGAAGATGGATCACATCATACATTATTAGGCTTCTGTTTAATATGCAGCATTAGCAGAAGTACAAATTTGATATCTTGTACTTTTGTAACCTTATGTTTACAGTACAGCACCATGCCTTTTTAGTGCTGCCTTGGAAATCAGATTGGATAAGTCTGGGAATACAGTTTCACATTGTGCATAATCCTCGTTCTGCAACTGAAGAAAATCAATGAGGGTGAAGCATTGATCTTCTTGCAGAGTGCAAATGCAGTTAGCTCTGAAACACTCTGCGGGGGATTTTGTTATTCAAGTCATTCGATTGCACAACATGTTTGCTAACCAAGTTCTTATAATGCAGTACCTTACTAGCCTAAGCTATTAAATAAATAAATAAAAGGTCCCTTTTGGAAGAAGAAAAAGGCTTTGCATATGCACTGTTCTACTACTACTTGTATGTTTGCTCAAGGCTAAACCGGATTGCCTTTTCTTCAATGACATTTCACAATGTCACCAAATATACTGTGTATGAAAGTCTCACAGAAGGAAGTGTGAATATGAATCACTCCAGGAAAATATTATCTTCCACTTTGATGGATTTTATGTTATTCTATACTGGTTAGTCAATTTGTTTTCTTTTTTTATTAAAGTAGTAAATGGGGCCAAGTGTTATCTGAAGGGCCCACAACAGATAGATAGATAGATAGATAGATAGATAGATAGATATGAGCTATATTTCATTCTTGTCAGTGAACGTATTTTTATACGTACAGCCACCCAACTGCAGGAAATAAAGTATTTTAAAAGTGATTTCAGAGGATTCATTTAGTGCTGTCATAATACAGTGTTTTCTTTAATGAAAATTTATATCATTTCGCCTGGATTGAAACAGTGGAATGAATTTATATTGAAAGATGGAAGGGGACTGATACATTGTGTAGTAAACACTGACTGGTACTTGACAATAAACAGGCCCTGACCTGGTTAAGTATAGTATGACATCATTAAATATATCCACTCTGAGTTCAGATTTTCCATGTTAAAACCATCTTATAAATGTAGTGTAATTGAATCAGGTGGCATTTGCAATAGGACATAACACTTGGAGATCAACATTATGCTGGTACAATATTAGGCTGTTTCTCAGAATATTAGCATGATTAAGATAACAGAGCCTGCTTTTAAAACATATTTGAAGCAGGCAGCAGCTCCAGTGGAGTGGTGGAGGTAGGAGAGAAGCTCTCTGCTTCGTTTTATTAGTTTAAGGATTCAAAATTTTGAAGTTGGTCCAATAAAAGATATTACCTCACCCACCTTGTCTCTCTAATATCCTGGGACTGACATGGCTACAACATCGCAAACATGAAATAAATAGGTAACATTTACTGGAGCAGTGAGAAAAATATAGGAAAGGTAGTAGACAGGGACAGAAAGAATTGCAGTAAAACATGTCATTTGACAGTTTGATAAATACACATTATATTTATTATTACCATGATTTTGTAGTCTTAACACACTTAAAGAGACATATCCAACAAAACAGAAGCATTTCAGCAGGTCCAGATTAATACAGGGGCTTTAGGGACTGCAGCCCAGGGCCCCCGGTGCAGCAGGGCTTAGGCAGGCTGCATGCGTGCCGTGGCCCCACACTGCTCCCGGAAGCAGCTGGATGCTGGCAATCTCTGTGGCCCCTGGCTGGGGGGGGGGGGCATTTGCAGGTGCAGGCAGAGCACGGAGACACACTGCCCCCTCCCCCCCAGCTTCTGGGAACAGTGTGGGGCCACGGCATGAGCCCTGCTGCGCTGACGGCTGGGAGCCACCTGTGGTAAGTGCCTCCTAGTTGGAGCCTGCACCTCACACCCTCTCCTGCACCCCAACCCCCTGCCCCAGGTCAGAATCCCCTCTTGCACCCAAACTCCCTGCCAGACCCCGCACTCCTCCTGCACCCCAAACCCCTGGCCCAGGTCAGAACCCCCTCCTGCACCTAAACTCCCTCCCAGAAAGAAACTAATATAACAGCTGTTCTAAGGTAAGAAATAGGCTATTTTGAATTAACATAACTATATTCTACATGTTTTATTTTAAGATTGAAATGTAACCACAGAACGGCTTTATGTTCATTCAAAGTTTAGTATAGTGTTAATAGCCTCGATGCCATAATTGTGATCATTTTGTTTTAAATTAGGAAAAAGACTTGGATACAGGGGCCCCACAAAATCTAATAGCCCTGGGCCCACAGGAGAGTTAGATAAAATCTATAAACTGAATCCTCTAGCCAGTCAGTATTACTTGGGGTTCAGATGGCAGCAAGCCTTGTGTACTTCAGTGAAGAACTGCACTGCATCAGATACAATTATAATAAATAATCATAACAATATGCAGAACTCAACTATTACACACTCAGGAATGTAATATACAATACCAGTTAGTAGGCAACAGAAAATAGCCTAGTTTTTTTAGCTTCCTTTTATATTGGTATATTAACCCCATGTAGTTAAAGAAGTGGATTAATTTTAGAAGTTTTGCTGTTAAGTAATTATCCAGTTATTTGCAGAATAGGAATGTAAACATAAGGCATCTCTTCCAAGTAATAAATGTGTAACAATGTATTTCATAACAGCCTTCAGAGCGCCCACCACACTGTTGGTACAATATAAATTAATAATAAATATTACTAATATTTAACAAGATTGTACTTTTTATTCCTTTTTGTTAGTATTGCTTTAGCAAGCGAAGAGAAGGATTGAAGTAACCTGGCTTAATTTTATGCATCCCATTTTTCAAAAGGCTCACTTCTCCGATGTTATGGTGATGATGGCATCCATGTAAGTAGACAGAAGGATAGATACTACAAACTGACCGTAAGAGCCTACCTTATTTAACACAGTTGATCAAACGTAATGAGATGCACCTTGTCCCTCAGCAACCTCATTCAGCCTCATGGATTCAACGACCACCTCACAACCTCTTTTCAGTCTTGACTCTTCAATTTCTTCTATGACTTTCCTTTCAGGATGTCCCAACAGCAACTGAAACTTAAAATGGCAAAACTGGACTTTACATCTTTCTCCTCTTTCTCTCGTCTCTATTATTTATATCAGTTCACTCATTCTGTCTTTCCTTCGGGGGCAACCTTGATGTTATTTTGACTTCTCTCTCTTTCCCTTCATCCATTGATACACTGGCTACATCCAGAGGATTTTCCTCCACACCTTCTCCAAATACTCTTCTGCATTCCCAACACCAAAATCCTTGTGCAGGTCTGGGTTCTCCCTCGCCTTGAGTATTACATTTCTAGAGAGGAGGAGGTTTTGTTACCATCTTTAGTTGATCCAAAACAGTGCTGCAAAAATCAGCTATCTAGTCCACTATTATGACTATATCCAGACCTCAACGCATTCTATATAAAAGAAACGCTTCATCCCTATCTTCAAGGACCTATACAACTAACCTCCGGCTTACCTTCTGCTCTTGTCACTCCCCTTTCACCCTATCCAAGCCACTTCACGTTCTTCTCCTACTTTCATTACATGCCTTCTACTGCAATAGGCATAGTTTGACTTCTATATTTTGGGAGACTGCTCCGGTCAGGCCAACGGGGCTGTGGGGAGACAAATTCCATGCCTGCCCAAGGCTTGCAGTTTGGGGGGCAACACCATCCCAAACTACACCCATGCTTCTACACCTAGAACCCACTTCCTGACCCAGTCTGCCATGCCTCCCTGGTCTTCATTTTCAAGTCCCAACATTAAAAACACACTGCTTCCAAAGGCTTATAAAAACACAGTTCTGTCCTTTAAGAGGTGCAATAAAAACAGGCAATATGCCATTTAATAAATAAATAAAACACATTTTGGCATTAACAAGATGTATGCTAATTTCACTGCCCAGTCACTTGTTTGTTGTCACATTCCCACCCCATCCTTTGTCTATTCAGATTGTCTGTTTCAAACTGGTGAAATGAAAGAATGCGTGTGCCTTCACCAAGAACTGACTACAGAAGCCTATGTTGTATATTTCCATTTCATGTCCTTGCTGAAACCAGGAAATATAGAGGGACAGCTTTTTAAAAAAACATATTTAATTTTCCAAATTAAATGATATTTTTGTTTTGTTATTATTGAGTTTGACTGAAGTTCAAACTTTTTTTACATTATCCACCTCCCTGTGTCCTTATATTTTTTATATGTATATAATGTTATAGGTTTTCCTCAAAATTAAATGGGACTCATCATTCCAGTCTGACCCAGCTTTCCCACCTTGTGGCATAGTTTGCCCATAGAGCCCTTACTTGATTTTCCCTTTGCCCAGGGTATCAACAAGTCTAAACAGATTGTTAAGTGCTAAAGAGTACCTCCTTGTGGAGGGTCTCATTTATTAACAATTTCTGCCCCTAGTGTTAAGCCTCTTGCCCCTACCAGGGTAATGTCCTTCTTTGGAGCCTGGGGAGGTCCGTTCACTGTGACTCTTCTCCAGAGACAATGAGTGATCCTAGCCAGGCTGGGCTTGCAGCCAGTGTCTGGAGGCCCACTGCTGAGACCAGGCCCTCTTTGATGCCTGCTGGCTACAGACCCTTGTCTAGGAGGCTGGCTCCCAGGAGAGCTCAGCTTCTAGGGTCCCTGGCTCACTCTACTGGCTCAGGCTTCTCTATGAGCTCCTCTCCACAGGAGCCTCTTTTCTCCCTTTGGAGTTTCCTGTAAATGAGCGTGGATAACCTTTATTAGATCCAGGTGCTTGTCTACTAATCGGCCATCTGGGGCAGTCACTTACCTCCAGGTGGGGCCTTCATAAGCCAGTCACCGGCAGAGTGAGCCCTAACTCCCCATAAAAAGCTGCTCCCCCATGATAGAGACAATATGCTGTTTTCTTTTAAAACAAACAAAACAAAAACATGCCAGTATATCAGCACTCATCAGCATGCCTACTAGAGTAGGTTTAATTATTCATTGTGAATAAATTATCTGACTGTAGCTCTTTTTACTGTTTGAGAATCATTTGAAAACTGATCCTGATTTCTACAAAATATCCTTTATGCAACCAAATTTTAGCCAGCGGCTTGTTTGCAAACTATTCACTTAAACTATTTGCTATTCGTGGCTTGTGCCAGGTCACCAAGTTAACACTTTATTGATTCTGTTTCCTGATAGGATGAGTGAAACTGTTTAAACTGGAAATTAACTAATATAATGAATGACAACTAATGAATAACACTCTTTCAGTACAGATTTTCAGATGAAGAATTTGTGCGCTTAAATTCATGATGTTTCTGGGACACATGAGCATTTTCATTAATAAACTGGTTGCTCATCCAAATAATCACAGACAATAATTAATATGATCATATAAATAACAGTCAAATGAACTTATCTTATAGTTTTGAATGTGAACATATTCTTAAAGCACTTTTTTCCATTGTTGGATCAACTCTAATCCTTACAGTGATAAACCAATTTACTTACAACTGCAGGAGAAAAAACTGGGAGTCAGCCTGGAAAAAAACGTACTCACTCAAGTAGCAATGGAACTATTCATTAATGTAGAAATTTGCAGGATCTCGCCCTTGGTAATAAAACAAATGCAAGTTTCACGCTTCCAAGGCCTGGTCCACACTAACCTGGTCCACACTAACGTGAATAACGTAGCTGAAGTCGAAGTACCTTAGTTCGAACTTACCGCGGGTCCAGACGCGGCAGGCAGGCTCCCCTGTCGATGCCACGTACTCCTCTCGCCGAGCACTTCCGGGATCAATCCCAGAAGATCGATTGCTTACCGCTGGACCCGGAGGTAAGTATAGACCTACCCTAAGGGTTATATATAAACAGCACTAAGAAATATTTTTTAAGATAATGAAAAAATACCCTGACAGTTTCCTATGAGTAACATTTTCTGCATACTGTGGAATTTAAATCTCATTATTGTTACAATGGACAGGAAGAATGATAAGTTATCTTTGAATTCTTCATTTACCACTACAGGAAACAGAGAAAGGAAACTCAGAGTAATCAGAACTCTCCTTTTCTATTCCAATAAGGCAGTCTTGCACAGAAATCCAGTCTTGACATCTCCTCCCTCCTCTTTGGACAGTGGGTAGTGCTGCCACTCAAGTTCAACTTCCTGTGATGTCACATTACGAGACTGCAGGGAAAGGAGGGAAGTCAGGAGCTGATATTTTATACATTTCTAATGTAGCAGGCAAACAGAAAAAAAGTATGTACATATATTAATTATGCCCTTTTTACATATCACGTAAAGTAATCATACCCTCTTGGACCATTCTAAAGCAGTGATGAAAGGCAGAATGACATTTTTTGTTTATTTGCTTTGTAAGTGACCTTAAAGAATTACCTTGATGGATTCCTAACAAAAATCCTAAATCAATGTGAGTTCTGTTTGCAGAGGGCCTGACAGGATAGGGACCAAAGCAGATTAAACTTCCTATCATGCAGAGCCCCATTTCCACCCAAGAGTGATATTCACCAAAGCCAGTGTTAAAGTGGGATACCCACAACGGGTGGGTAGTACCACCACAGAAATAATAAACTTGTGACAATTTGAGACTATAGGAGCTACAGTATGTTTACAGACTACTAGCTGAAAATGAAATATTTATGGCTTTTGTTTTACATATGCCACAATGACTCATCGCCTAAATTTCTATTAGCCAAAAATATTTGCAGTATTTCTTCTTCCAAATAAGATCAGAGCTCTGTGGTATAGCCCAGAATGTCCTTGCTTGAACACAATCAATGTCATATACTTAATCTAGTCTTGAACTTCATGACTATGCAGTCACCTGTCATGGATGCTTATAGACATAACAGGATTACAGGTCTAAATCTTATATATTGTCGTTTTTGAACTTCAAGGTGTTATAGAAGCATAGCGTATGCTTCTTCGGGTGAGCTCTCTGCTGCAGCAGTCTCCCTTTAGAACACAGATTTGATCTAAGTCTGTGGTTCTTGCTGAGATACGCATTACATCATTGTCTATTTTCAGCTTGTTACATTAATCAAAACCTATCCCATTTATTAAACTGCTTCCTGCAGCTCAGGCATTTGAAATGCAGAGTGCCAGCAAGCTGCTGCTAGGCACCGTGAAGGAAAGAGGTGGGGTAGATTTGAGTAATGTACAAATTGAATTTCAAGTGACTGAGCAGCCTCTTTATCTCTTGGTGACACAACCAGTGATTGTGGCAGTATTCTTAAAGGAAATGAAACCCAGAGCCACGGTTCAATCATTGGGTAGTAACTATAGCTCTTCCCAGTTGTCTTTCCGGAACTGCTGATGAGTGTGACCTTTGCAAAAATGCACAAAGCCTTGATTTCTGCACGGCTAACCTTTACAAGCTGGAACCCTCCTGTGGAACCTAACTGCAACAGAGGGATGCTTCCAAATAACACACACACACACACACACATACACACATTTTATGAAGTGTGTATATTTTATTAAACAAAAATACTTTGGATAAAGATATTTAACAGTTGCCTATTTCTCTGTTTTGAGCCTTTGCATTCTTCTCTCTTTTCACAGGTAACAATCCGTCCAAAAGTCCAACACCAGAAATGCATCTCAGAATCATTTTCTGTACTTAAGAACTTACCGAAGCAAGAAGTCAGCAAAATAGAAGTTAAAGTTTATCTAAACATTGGCCCTGTTCATGCCTCTGAGCTCATAGTGGAGGTGATACCTCCATGCAGGGATCTCCCTCACCATGCAGAAAGGTGCTCAGCCATCTTCATGGCTGTATCCTCCCTTGTTACCTGTCAGCTCTGTGCTCTTGGGGAACCAGGGCGCAGTATCCAGCCTGTCTGACTCACGAAGGACCCCCCCCCCCACCTCCGTTTGAACCAAAACCGATCAGAAGAAAGACTTACAAAAAGCAATGAAAAGACAGTGGGAGACACAGCTAAACCTCTCCGGACAAGGGTGATAGGATTAAGAAAACTCCCTTAGCCTCATTTGCATTGAAGATGGGACAGGGAGGCCTCTCCATCAGCATACACAATGGAGAACAGAGATTCCAAGGCAAGAACCACACTGAACTCTGGGACCAGAAAGGCAGGGAAGCACTGCATGATGGGGGATCTCTGCTCCAGATGTTAATGAACCCACGCCTGCCTAAACCCAGCTCAGTAGTTTATGAGACTAATTCTAGTAATAAGTCCCTTATTGGTATCCAAAATACTGAAGCTGCCTAATTGCATTGTGAGCTCCCTGAAAGGAACACCACCCATAGCCAGGAATGATCAGCTTCTATTGTCTAGCCTGAACAAAACAACTTTGGTATACTCCTTTGAGCCATCAGTTTATCCATAAACAAATCTAGTGTTCTCCCTTGAACCATTATTGGTTCTCTAAAAAAAAAACCCTACCCATGCTCAAATAAGTGTTCTGATGTCTGGATCCAAAATCTTCATCAGTTCCATTGGGACTTCATCTTCTCCTGGCTGATTGTGTTGGGGGCTTTGTCTGTCTTTAGCACTCCAGAACCTTAGCTACCAGTTTAAGCTTCACGGAGTGGTGAGAACCCAATACTCTCTCTCTTCCCCCCCCATTTTTTACTACTCTAGGTACAGCTTTCTAACCCTGACTTGTGTGATCAGGTATAGTTTTCTAAACCTGACTTTTGTAATCAGATTTAAGCTAGATTTAATATTATAACTGTTTTGTTTGTTTGGCTCTCCTTGTATGATTATTATGTGGCAATAAATAACTTTGACGGTTAAGCTGGTTGCTTCCCTCCTCACCCCCCTTTTGTGTTTTTGGCTTCCCCATTTGCTTTGCAGCAACGCTCTTCTTACCTAAGCTAAAGATCCCTGTAGCGCCCAAAAATCCTGTGCGTTTTCCTCATCAGGTGGGTTACTACCAGAACAATTGTAACGTGAAAGTGGGGATAGGGACATGTTGAACCTGTGGCATAGGAGGGTGGCAGCATGGAAGTGCTGCTCGACCCAGCCTGCTGAGTCCAGGGACATATAAGGGGTCAGCTTGGGAGTGCTGATTGACTCAGTCCGCTCAGACATGCTCTGTTAATGTGAATGTGTGTGTTCGTCTGATTCTGGGACTGGAGGAACCAAGCCCTGAGGAACCTAGATCCTGCAGGATAGCTCCATTGGGAGGGAACTTGCAGAAAGGAGAAGTAGAGCTCCGTATGAAAACACAAGTGACACAAGCAGTACACTGATAGAATTACTGAACACCCCCCCCAAAAGATTAACCCTAATAAATGAGCATACCCCAGAGGAATGGGCAAATCTGGTAACACTCTGCACCTGAACCCCGTGGAAAGCTCTCTGTGAATCCACAATTCCACCTGAGGGAAGGAATAAGTGACGCAGGAGTGGATAACTTACCATTCCCCCACACTAGCCCTACAGGACTCAGGGAAGAAATTGAACTCAACCAGTGGCTGTATTACATTTCTAATGCCCTGTCCATGGTGGGGGTCCAGGGAGTTATGATGACTGGGAGCAGAGGGGAACACTGGAGACCCAAAGCTGCTGAAAAGGGAACATGCCTCTACAGCTCCCAGGCAATTCACTAGGTTTGGCTATGAGTTCCTCAGAAAGTTCCACAGCAGGGAAAGAAACAAAATATATTGCCCCCACCCCATACCCCAGTGGAGTGGCTTGGGAGACATCTCTGAGGGGGAACCTTGTGAAGATTTTATTCCCCTCCCATGGATTTTCTTATGAGAAAGGGGTGACTGGGCCAACTGCTGTTTGGAAGGCTGTAAATATTACATAGCACAAAAGGGCAAAACAATATTATTTTCATTGTAATTTGTCTAGGATGGCTATTCTCAACCTACTGAAGGCTTCTCAATTAGCTTGGATTAGTGTGACCAAATGCACCCCTGTATTCACACCCTATTCACTACTGTAATACGCTTTGTACAAAATATGCCTTATGAGGTATCATTTGAAAACTAGTAACTCACTGGTCAATATCATCATGCTGAAATGTATGTAGCCATGTTATATGTAAAGCTATCTTAAACAAAGGAATGTGTGTTTACCTCAGTTTATATATAAGTAGTAAACAAGGTCCTTGAGACAGCAAAGGAGTAGGAACAGACCTATCTGCATTTTACCAAACAACAGCATGGACGCTCTTTCACCACAAGACTCCTTGTCTCCATCTTCACGGTGGGAGTGAACATTATCAAGGGGTAACCCTCAGGAAAATTCATTTCAAAGGGTGACTGGACTATAAAACCGAGGGGCAAAAAACACCCTAATATCTATCCCTATCCATCTCTCACCTCTCTTTCATCAAAGACGACAAAAGAAATCAGCCCTTTGGACTTGGGGGCAGATCCTGACTTGAGTATTTGGTCAGCAGTATTGCTGGGAACCTGTGGTAAGAATTTTACCTTGAATCAAGTCTAGTTTGTTAAGTTTAGTTACTAGAAAGCCTTTTAACTTCATTTCTCTTATCACCATTTCTGACTTTAAAGCCTTATACACTACTCACTTAAAATCTCTTTCTACAGAGAACAAAATCACCTTAAGTCATCTATTATTGCAACATAGTAGGGTACACAAAACGACCAAGTCTCCCCATTAAAAAAATGCAATAAAGTTTGTTCCTTACTGCCCAAATATTTCCTTTTTTCTGGTTGATCATATCCCTCTTTATTTGGCCTGTAAAAACCTCCTCCCTCACATTCACAGGTGATCATTCCAGGACATTCCCTCTTCCCTGCAGCTATGAAATTCTGGCCC